AAGAGGCTAGTCATGTTCGATCATCGGTGCCTTCGCAGCTTAGCTCCTGTCTGGTGGGAGCATTGTATGAGCAAGGAGCGTGTTCGACGCCTAGGTTATGGCATAGGAAAAAGCGAACCACTCAGCACCGTTATTTGCCGCACCAGGCTCCGATAGCTGGGCCATGTGTTGCGCATGCCAGCACACCGACTCCCGCGACGTGCATAATTTGCGCGCCGGAGTGCGTTGGAACAGAAATAGGGGAGGCCAAGCGATGAGTTGATCGAGATAAATAAAAACCCTCACTTCGAAACTGGTGTCGGTTGGTACATCCCGACTGCCTGGCTGGGGTCCTAAGGATGATGAACACGTCCGGTTGGACACAATTGCTGATATGGCGAAGAGCCGGCCCCAATAGAGTTCGTGTTGTGAGTTTTTTGTCCATCCCCTCCTCTTCCAATTCCGATCTCATACAAAACGCATAAGATAATATTTAAAAGCATAACACGCCTTAGAATATGTTCGTAGTGTAATTTTTCAATATCTAATTTTCTACTATGGCGGCACATTAGCTGAGGGTGAGAAACACACCGCAGCTAAAGTGTGTTAATGATGATGTCGGACATCGTGTCTAGTCGAAATTAGGAGGCATGCCAGTTTATTTTTACGAACCCAAATTTCCGGTGAGAATTGACGTCCACTTTGAATGTAGCTGGGAGGCTAGGGGAGTGAACGGCCTGAGTAGGACGTCATGATGGCTGTTACGGTGACATGCGCTTCCTAAAACGGGACCGCGTCCGATAAAATCCGCCTTTACGAACAACCTTGTTACACCGTTGAGATCAGTGATGTCTGAACGAGCGACTACAGTGTCAATACATTGATGGCCGTGTTCCGTTACTGACTGGGTCCAATGAGTGTCCGGTGCCTGCAAAACATTTGGCGGCCAATGGGCTTCATTGAGATGGGAAAATTGAATCGTTCATCATTAATGCTTTTACTCAAGAAGCAGCAGGCAACGGAGTCAAAACAGTAAAAGGTAAGTAAGACACACCACATGCGTTGCAACCAGCGTTCTGTCCTTCTGCGACTAGTAAAACGATGTTTAGTAATGAGTCGGAGAATTTTGGAAGAAATTTTGACGGGTCGTTCCAGGTGCTCACAAGCTGGATAGTCAAACTCCCGGTCGGGAAACACATCAGACGATCGTTACGCCACAGTGGGGCTCGTCAGTGATGCGCATTCCCTCGGTCCACTACAGGGGATCCAGCCTATGACCGTTAGCAGCCTGCACCAACTAGCCAGCAGCTTAGGTCAATGAGTCATAATGAAAGTGGGCGGACCGTCATACCTTGCAATCCAACTGCGATATAGCGCGACCAAACCAGTTTTGGTAAACCGATACGATTCGGTTGGGGTTGAGACTGAGACTGTATTTAAGAGCAAGTAGAAAATATTCTGTACAACTCTATCGAATCAAGAAAAATCGAAAACATTTAATTCCGGATTGTCGGCGGTAGCGTTTGGTCAGTTGTTCGCTTATCTTTGTTCTGTTAGGAATTCGTATTGGTGCCATTATTTCCGGGTATAGGATGTACTTTTTGCATTGTATGTGCACCGTTTCACATAAGCAAAGGTTTCCAAAATAAGCGTCGATGTGTTTTGAAACACTTCACAGAGGTGGCCTCTATTAGTCCTCCTGGTAGTGTACTCCATAAGTTTACGATTCTTCGTTCTATACAAAGTTGATGTGATACCCTGTTCACGCATGGGACCCTGAGTTTATAGCGGTGTCCAAGAGTGTAACAGGGTACCCGCAGGTAAAATATTGGCCGCAGTATGAGGAACTGATTCAAGTGTAGTATTCGATGGGTCATAGTAAGGTCGGTTCGCACAATGTGTAGAAACCGAGCCTTTCACAACGTTCTTCATATGGAAGCTATCGTAGACTGGGTACCATGTCTTGCGATATGCTGTAATTTTCTCCAGCTTTTCCGTTTCCCATTGAGTTATCGGATGGTAAGCTGGAGCATCGCATCTAAGGAATGGTCTGATAAGCGACGTGAATAGGCAAGAGACAGTTTCTTCAGACCATGCGAAGAAACTGAGTCGTAATGACCAGAGCATACGAAGTACCGTAAGGTACAATATCTCTGTGCTTTCCAATTTTCTCATATCATGCCGCGAGAGCACTCCTAAGTCTCTGACAGAGGTGTTGGGGTGGAGCAACTGGCCGTCCAAGGTGTATGATCGGATGACTGTACGTCTGGTGATACTGATGAATTCCAACTTGCATGCATAAAGAGAGAGTTGGATTTCAGTGGACCATGTTGACAGCCAGTGCAATCGTCCTGGTTCTCAGTGATCCACTAGATGTTCAAATCATCAGCAAATGGGGCACATGGTGACTGGAGCTGCTGTGGGAGATCGTTGATATGAATAAGAAATAACATTGGCCCAAGTACAGTTCCTTGAGGCACGTCAATGGGAACCAGTCTGTCAGGTAGTCAATGACCAGTACTCTAAACTTTCGTCCCACAATAAACTCGTGTAACCACTGAAGTAGCGTACCACTGATCCCGTATGTCCTCAGTTTACGAAGGAGTACCTCATGATTCACTCTGTCAAACGCCTTACTAAAGTCGATGTACTCCACGTTAAGCTCCGTCCGTTCGTTGAAAGCTCATACCCACTGGTGGTTTGCGTACATCAGGTTGATGATGCAGGCTCGCTCATTCGTGAAGCAGTGTTGCGCTGGCGTCAAAAAGGCCGCCGAATCGAGGAACGATAGCCGACACTTTTTCACAACCTTCTAGAGAACTCTGGACAATATCGAAGTCAAACAGATCGGTCTATAGTTTTCTACTTTACACAGATCACCCTTGGGAAGCGGTCTCACTATCGATCATTTGCAGTCGTTAGGGATAGATCCTTCAGAGCGATTTATTTAGGTTTGTCACGGCTGGTGAGATGACATTTGATAGGGACTTAAGTATTAGTGGGTGAAGTCACTCTGGTCCGGGGGGTTTTGCACCATCGCAGTTGACTAGCTGATACACTTCGTCCGCATCACATGGTAGGCTGTGGAGCAAGACTGGCGCAACCTCTACCGGTACTAGAACAGCCACCGGTTTAGTGGAGAATACGGTGAGGAAGTGCGAAGCCAAGGCGTCCGCGCGCTCCGCGCTTAAATTGAGCGTCTGTACGTTCAAGCTCCCTAAGACCGGTAGGTCGCCCGCAGGTCTTAGTTGATGTTTCAAGTAGGCAAATATCCTCTTGGGGACGGTTGTGACCGAGTCTGATAGTTCTTCTTCAGACTACCGGCGTTTCTTGATCACTGCGGTGTTACATAAATTGCGCTGTTTCTTGTACATAGTGTAATCTTCATCCCAACTCGAGATGATGTAATTATCCCAAAGTATGCGTCCCTGTCGCGCTAACGGTTTATATTCCTTATCAAACCAATTCGGTTTGATAAGTTTGACTTTTAAATATTTCAGGGGAACGAACCGAGTACACAGTGAGTTAAGCGTCCCCGTCATTGATGATCAAAAGGCCTCAAGCGATGCATCCTGTGGTAGTGTCCAATCAGTCTGATTTGCCGTTTGGACGAGCTCGTTGAAGTCCGTTTTCCAATAGTTGAAGGTTGGCTTCAGTTGGCTGTAATACGGTAACGGCAGTTTTATACTTGCCACAAGGGAGCAGTGGTCACCGTTCGGTAGAGGTTCGAGGACTCTGACCCCTTTCAGATACGGCTCGCAGCTCGTAAACCTTAGGTCCGGAAAAGATGCCGAGTGCAGAGTTATGCGTGTCGGTTGGATGACATGTTGCGTTGTCCCGATCTCATCAGTCATTTTAGAGAATTGAGCCTCAACGTCGCCATGACCGGGAAGAAGCCGAACGTCTGACCAGAATATCTCAGGTACATTTAGGTCTTCCATCAGGAAAAATTGTGGGCGGCTCATATGTTTCTGTACATGTGGTAATCGATAGCAAGAACGGTTTATTGGGCTATGGTAGCTAACACCCACTATTAGTTCTGCGTGTCCGAAGCGGATTGAGCACCACAGTTGCTCGCATAAGTTATCCTTGCTCTGATAGGTGCTGTTAAGTTGGTTAGATAGTGACGATTTTATGTGAAACAAAACACCGCCGTGATCCTTTGATTTTCGGTCGCATCGGAAACAAGAGAATCCTGACAAGGAGACTTCTTGGGGTAAGACGTCGGAGCTCAACCAAATTTGGATGTCCTAGAGAAAAAAAGTTTCCTTGGGACCAGAATCGCAGAGAAACTGGAAGCGATAACAGGCAGCTTTGGCGCAAGAGCACGAGCTATGCCGCGCAACGGCGCCAACCTGCGAGCTGGTGAGTCGGGATGAAGCGACCTACAGTTTTTCTGTGTCCCTGTGCAAGAGTAGGCGCGAAAACCTTTCGCTAGAATTTTATTTGTGGCAACTCGGATTCTGCACAGGCGACACATTTTAACCAATCGCAGTCATCCAGAGTGGGTAAAACTAGTTTCCGCTCCTTTACAATAAGTTCTGCCAAACCCGGTAGAAATATGGAAATATCTATGTGGAATAGGCGACAAGTACGAGGCCGAGCAGATTCAAGTGATTTGAGGAAGTCTGATCGTTTAATCGCTTAGCGCGAAACATGCAAGTAGATGAGAAAATTTAAGTATGCTTCAACTCGGGAAAGATCCTCCTCCTAGCACAAGTGAAGTGAACTTAGGCAATCAATTAGATCGCATACATAGTCTTCTGTGCCTTAAAAGTGTGCGTACACACTTGTTGTCGCGCATAATGGACCCGATCGCCATGATCTCCTCCAAGATCGCAAACATTGCTCGTCTATGGCCCATCCCACAGATCCAGTAGATTGGTTCAATGAAAGCATAAGAAACATTCAAAACAAACCGTAAGTCTAGCACTGGTAAATTGTGGATAACTGCGAGTAGTGTGTAAGTGCACACAGAAAAAACACAACGCATGCATCAGCGCGGAGCAAACACAACATACCCAATCGACGCGCCTTAGCAAAGGTGTAGGGGCGGTGCACGGCTTTGTCGACCAAGGCGCCAACCACGTACACAGCATTATGGTCCCATTCTCCTGGTTCAAAAGAACGAGAGGCGTTTGGACTGAGATAGAACACTGGCTGGCTTGGATTATCGACCGGAAAATCGACGGAATAGTGGTTTGGCGATATTGTCCATGGTATGTCGTACAAGCTTTTGAGCGAGGAGCCCTAACAAAAGTAACGGTGATGAGAAAAATGTGAACGGACATTATGTCTATCCGAGGCTGGTGCCACAGTAGATAACGGTGTACACAAAAGGGAAATCGAAGAGAACCAGGCGATAAAACATGTGCAAATTCGTTAACACACGTAGGAAGTTTAAAGTGTTTCGAAATACTGGTAGCTCGGGTTGATGAATCAATTGTTCATTTGTTCTCCGAGCTGGGCTAGGAAGTTGTTTGAGAAGATTGTCGTAGCCAGACAGTCACCACACATATTCGTAGAAGTGCTGGACAGCCGTTTCGCCCTACTGGGACTCGTGGGCAGCGCACGCTCGCGTGATCTTGCTGGTTACGCGAACAGGATCTTACCATGGGTAACGGCCGCGGACCACCATGACCGATTTCTAAAAGCGACATAACGTGGCTCATCTTCCACCATCATGCATGGTATGAATATGCGAAGGGCTGTCGAGCTACGAAAAATCGCAACAACAACAACAACAACAAAAGCCTAATAAATCCACCTACTACCCATCGAAAGTGATGACAGAATAGTAGTTATCGGGAATACGAGAGAATGAAACAAGAACGGTCCACGTATGCCGCCTGTAGGGACAGGTGATATATAGAAAATGGATACTAAAACATCAGGCAAATTGCGGTGTGGAAACGGATCAGAAAGAGCTTAATACCACAACAGCTGAGAAGAGATGCTTGGAAAAAGGTGGTCGGTGGGAAGAACAGTGTCTGGTACAATGTAGCGAGCACGTGGGTAAAAGCAAGGTCAGAGGGATCAACATAATGCTGGTGTTATGTGTCGATGCATTTTGCAAAGACCCGGTATGCAGTTATGAACGGGCGGAGATACTGTAGCAACACCGAAGCCTATGTAGCAGCAAAAACTCACAGCCGAAACGTAACAGTTGGAAGCCAGGCGTCCTAGACAATATATGCCATGGATGCGTAAAGTTTTCGTTTCAAACAACAGCAGCAAGTGGCTGATTCAAGGGGTGAATCGGTCTAGGAAGTTGTGTATACTGTTTCTGAGTGCATCAATCCCTAGGGGAAAGATGTGGAATCTGCCTAGCGGTCGAATGCACACGTTGTAAAATAAAGTGGCATGACCAATGCTGCTACATGAGTGGAATAAGAACAGTAAGAGATTGGTTGTGCTCGAATATCGGTACTCGCGAATCAATGCTTGTATCTCGTAGGAGTGCCAGCAGATTGCTGTCGTTCAGTTGTTGATTACCACCAGATCACGTGATCATGTCCATGAGATGCATACTGACCGTATGATTGGGCGTACGTTTACTGACGACGCTGTCTTTATTCCGGTGAAACGTAAAGTTGATTACTCGATGAGTTGACGAAAATGCAGAGCAACTGATAGGGAAATTAGGGACGGTTAGTGAACAATATCCTCTCGAGCGGAGGATCACCACCGGACCAACCATGTTTAGTTTGATTCAAAAGAGAAAAATGACGGGGTTCCAGTATCCGGTTCGGCTGTTCAGTTAAACAAAGATGATGCAATGGATTCATTGGGGGAGGGGTTGTTTGGATAGGGAAAATGGTCTACTAACCCTCCGTCGATTCATCTCCACCGTTTCAGCTCTGGGTTGAGCAATGCCACATAAATTTTTGGTCTCAGGTACGGGCCCAGCAAAAGAATTGACGTGCAATCATTGGAGGGTCATTTTGTAGAACTTCTGTCACAATTCAATCACACAACGTGTACTACGCGAAATGACCCTCCAATCCATCATTACCCGTGGTGCTAAGCGTTGCCCGTCGTGACCCGGTGGCTTAGGGGTAGCGGGCACGACTAACATCCCAATGGTCCCTGATTCAAGGCCTGCTATCCTAACTTGACGAGATCAAATAAGGTCGAAGTGCGTTGTAAAGTGCAGTGCTTTCGAACGATAAACACCAAATAATTATCTGCTTGACCTAGATTCACTTCTCAGTGAATCGCGATCCAATCTGAGATTGCATGTCGCAATCCATTGACACAGGTCGATTTATCCCCGGGTCTTTTCATCTTCATAGTGCATTTCACCACGATCACACCTTAAACAGCTGAACTCGGTTAACTAATATCCCACCGTATACGTCACCAACATCTAAGTATGAAGTAGGTCTGTTTAATATCATTGTAGAAGTGAATCCCAAAGGAGCATTTATGAAGGAACTGTTTCCAATGTTTACTAATGTCGTACGCTGGTTATACCTTTATTTTTTCACGTTCCGCTTATACACAAATTGGCTCTTGTTCAGGTTGAAATAATATCTGAAGGATGTTTGTGAGTAACGTAAGTTCCGTAGAAAGTAGAAAACACGATTAAACTCCACACGAAAATCTGCCTCGACGCGGAATCGAACCCCGGTTCACGAATTTCCGGTCCGCTGCTCCACCACTGAGCTACCGAGGACGGAGGATTAGGTGCGCAATTTTTAATACATGACTTCTGCTTGGTGCGCGACATATTGAAAATGAGCTCACAGTAACTGTCCTGGTGTTGCAGATCGGCTCACTCACTCGTCACTTCCCAGTGGAACGAAGTAACTGTCCTTCTGAAGTCCAAAGGGCGATGGTAGATTATTTGAAGGATGTTTGTGAGTAACATAAGTTTCGTAGAAAGTAGAAGTCACGATTAAACTCCACATTCGTGGACCGGGGGTTCGATTCCGCGTCGAGGCAGATTTTCGTGTGGAGTTTAATCGTGACTTCTACTTTCTATGAAATAATATCATTATTCAGGGTTGCTCTGGCAGCGCAGCGCAGCTCATGGCTTAATTCGCTAATCGGAGCAAAGGTTATAACGACAAACGTAAGTGTTGCCGGTGTAAGAAAGGTTCCACTTGGTTGCTTTATCACACATGCCACTAGGCGATGTAATATCAACAAAGTTCATTCCATACAACAAAAAACAAACCTACTTCAAACTATGGGGGATAAATCGACCTAGGAGTGAAAAGGCAGGGAGGGATAAAGTGACCGGGAACAAAACAATCTAGATTTTTTCCGTACAGCCGTTGTATCAACGGATTGTGACACGTTATCTCAGTGTGGATCGGGATTCACTGTGAAGTGAAGCTAGGGACCGCGTCTGAAACAGAAAAATTCAATGTTCCCAGTCGCAAGAACTCAGTAGCGGATGCAGTTACCAGGCTGCGCGTAGCCAAGATAACAACAGTGGGTGAAATTAGTAGAAAATATCAGCAGCTTGGTGAAAGAAAAGCAGAAGCGACATCGACTGCGCGATGCGCTATGTCCGGTAGGGTTTTCACAACCAGTGATACAGACCATTAGAATGCTCCCTTTTACGAAGATGGCATGCACCAGCCTGACCAAGTCCTTTAGACAATTTCTTCATGCGTTTATGCACGCTGTTGACTGATCACCCCGCGATCAATGAGCAGACGGCGGACATGACCCAGCCAGCGTAAGCGGTTAGGCTTTAGCGGACTCTGGTGAAGCAACAAAGGGTTTTTTGCTCCAAAATCAACTGGTGGAACTTAGCAATGTTCAACTGGTGTTTCTACCAAATGTGAGCAATGCTTCACAAGCACCGGTTGTCAAACACATCCAATCGTTTCATGTCTTCAGCGCGAGGGTACCATGTTTCATACTTATAGAACGACACCGGCCTTAACGTAACGTTGCACACTCTGGTTTTGACAGACTGATATCCCGTCGTCTCCACAGATGATGGAGACTTTAAAAGGCCATAGATACAAGAGTCTTCTCAGTGATGCGACCGCCGCAGGACTCGAGTTTCGAGGTTTGCATTCCGACATCCCACCGTGCTTCCACGATGGTGTCCTTGCCATTAAGTCTTTACACCTTTTACCTCAGACTACTGATACTTACAGCAAGGGATCAGTGAAAACAACTATGTGGAAGGCAAATTGGTGTTTGAAGGAGAGCGGATGGACGAAACTGAATCGAGATAGAGGAAATGCGAATAATAGGAACCGAATGTCGGTCATTCTCAAACCAATGAACGCAGTTAACTTGATTAGAAATCATGAATTTTAATCGTGACTTCTACTTTCTACGAAACTTTACCCTACTCACAAACATCCAAAATTAATCTACTATCGCCCATTGGACATTCGAAGGACAAGTACTTCAGCCCATTGGGAAGTGACGAGTGAGTGAGCCAACCTGCAACACCAGGACAGTTACTGTGAGCCCATTGGCAATACGTCGCGCACCAAGCAGAAGTCATGTGCTAAAATTTGCGCACCTAATCGTCAGCCCTCGGTAGCTCAGTGGTAGAGCAGCGGACCGGAAATTCATGGACCGGGGTTCGATTCCCCGTCGAGGCACATTATTGTGCGTGAATTTTAATCGTGACTTCTACTTTCTACAAACTTTACCCTACTCACAAACATCCAAAATTCTCATTTGATTTTCCTTTAAACTTGAAACGAATTCAGAAGCAACATGATCAGTTCCAACGTTTAAAAGATCTGCCGGTCACTTGCATTGGAACGTACTTCCTTTGCACAGAGGCGTCATGGCACCGCCGTAGTTAAGGTATTAGTCGACGCAAGAGCCACCCGTTAAGGACGATATAGCATTCATCAACCTGCAGCGCCACTTTCAAACACCAGTTCAAAGTGACAGTTTTTCGTACAATCTAGCTCTGTGGACAGTGGTTGTGAAGACGGCTTCAGATGGTGAAAGTGCGCTGGATGAATCCCGCCAGTAGCATCAACAACAGCTTGGTTCAATTGATAGTCTAAAGCATGTGCATTGGGGCGCAGTGAATTCGACTGTCATAATCAGCGGCACAAAAAACGTGCAAGTAAACAAAACTAACACTAGATAGATCTGGATAACTAAGGAGTGGATAAATAAGTGCCATCCGGCACGGTAACGATCCACAACGGGACATCAGCGCTTTGCGTTTCATTGCTAAACACAAAGACAACACTCATGTGGAATAAGAAGATACTGGTGGAAGGAATAATTATTACAAAACTTGGATAAAT